CATTACCTGAGCGGAAATCAAGAGTTGGATGCTTAACTGACTGAGCCAGCCAGGTGCCCCAGAATGTAATATTTAAAATGTGGAAAGAAAAAACACACTAAAGTAGAGTTCAGTATCTTGCAAAATTATCCCTTAAAAGTGAGAAAGGAAGACTTTCAAAAAGATAAAGACAAACACAAATTGAGGGAATTTGTTGCCAGTAGACCTGCCTTGCAAGAAATGTTAGAAGTTCTTTAGAGAGAAGTAAAATGATATGAGTCAGAAACTCAAATCTGCATAAAGAGAGGATGATCATCAGAAAAGGAATACGTGAAGGTAAAATAAAAACTTCTACTTTTACTTTTTTAACTTTATTTTGAGAGAGAGAGAGAGAGAGAGAGAGTATAAAGCGGGGGAGTGAGAGAGAGAGAGAGAGAGAGAGAGAGAGAGACAGAGAGAGAAAATCCCAAGCAGGCTCTGCACTGCAGGCACAGAGCCCAACATGGGGCTCAAACTCATGAACTGTTAGATCATGACCAGAGCTGAAATCAAGAGTTGGACACTTAACCAACTGAGCCATCCAGGCGCCCTATTTTTATTTTTAATTGATCTACCAGAAAAATCTGTTCAAATAATGACAACAATATATTTGATTATGTATGCCTTTGTATATATGGATTGCTATAGACAGAATGTGTCCTTCCCAAATTCATGTGTGGAAATCCTAACCCCTCAATGTGATGGTATTACAAGGTAGAGCCTTTGGGAGGTGGTTAGGTCATGAGGGTAGAGGCCTCCCGAATGGTATTAGTACCCTTATAAAAGAGACCCTAGAGTGCTCCTTTGTTCCTTGTTCCACGTGATGACACAGTGAAAAGATGCTGTCTACGAATCAGGAAATGGGCCTTCATCAGACCGCATATCTGCTGATGCCTTGATCTTAGACTTTAAAGCTTCTGGAACTGTGGGAAATACATTTCTGTCGTTTATAAGCCACCCAATATATGGTATTCTGGTATATAGCCCCTTGAATGGACTAAGACATATGTGCTTATGTATAAGTGAAATTAATGACAGAAATGATACAAGGGACTGGCAGGAGAAGTTAGGAGTTTTTTTTGTACTTGTACAACCCATGAAGTAGTATATTGTTATTTGAAAATGGATGTGGATTAATTGTAAATGTATATTGCAAACTCTAGGGAAACCACTAAAAAGTGTTTATAAAGAAGGGTGCAGGGGTGCCTGAGTGGCTCAGTTGGTTGTTTCTGACTCTTGGTCTTGGCTCAGGTCATGATCTCATGGTTTGTGGGATCAAGCCCTGCATTATACTCCACGTTGACAGCAAGGAGCCTGCTTGGGATTCTCTCTCTCCCCCTCTCTCTCTCAAAATAAATAAACTTAAAGGAAAAAAGTGTACGGGCTCCTGGCTGGCTCAGTTGGTAGAGCATGTGACTCTTAATCTCAGGGTTGTGAGTTTGAGCATAGGTTGGGTGCAGAGGTTACTTTAAAATCTTAAAGATTTTAACCAACTAAACTAAGAAAAGAGAGAAAATGGAATCATATAAAATGGTTAATTAAAATCACAAAATACAGGGGCACCTGGGTGGCTCAGTCAGTAGAGCGTGTGTGGGGAATAAGGTTAGGAATTCCCTGAATTTGCACCGATGGGTTAACAAGACATAAAGAAATAGAAAGCCACGGGATGAACACATCCAAGACTAGGCAAACAAGATTAGGTAAACAGGGCAAAGGCCCCCAGTATAGGACAAAGGTATAGGAAATAGGAAATCTCAGGATGAAAACATCCAAGATTAGGTAAAACAAGATTAGGTAAACAGGGCAAAGGCCCCCAGTATAGGACAAAGGTATAGGAATAGGAAATCTCAGGATGAAAACATCCAAGATTAGTAAACAAGATTAGGTATTCAGGGCAGAAACACCCCCCAATTTAGTACAATAGCAGAAAGCTTCTTTCACTGGAAGGAAGGACAAAAACAGGTAAACAGGGCTATAGACTGCAGCAGGAGGAAGTTGCCTGGAGAGGAGCTAATTAGCAAAAGAAAGGTGTCTTGTTGGCCCTGAGGTAGCATATGCTGTCTTTCTTGTCCCCTAGACCAGTTTAGGTAAACAGAGGTGGTGCCTCATGTCTGCTGTAAACAACCTTCTGCCCAGGATTTAGTTTTGTATTGACCCAAACCCCTAACACCGCATATCTTCAAAACCCCCTTTCCCTCACACCCACAAGTGAATGTTCATGGTTTCATTGTCTCTTTGTGCACGTCCATCATGCTTGTAAGCCTTCTGATCCTAATAAAAACGGAGCAAGGACTCTTACTTGGGACTCTTATCTCCTCTTGGACATTATCGTCTCTTGCATTTCAATCCTGCATCCGCTCCCTTGCTGGACAAGAGAGAACTCCAGACCCAGAGACTACGAGAAGCATGCAACTCTTGATCTTGGGATTGTAAATTCAAGTCCCATCTTGGGTGTAGAGATTACTTAGAAATAAAATCTTAAGGCGCGCCTGGGTGGCTCAGTTGGTTAAGCATCCAATTTCAGCTCAGGTCATGATCTCACGTTCATGAGTTTGAGCCCCGCATCAGGTCTTGTGCTGACAGCCCAGAGCCTAGAGCCTGCTTCGAATTCTGTGTCTTCCTCTCTCTCTGCCCCTCCCCTGCTTGTGCTCTGTCTGTCTGTCTCTCAAAAATAAACATTAAAATAAAATCTTTAAAAAACAGACCCACAAAAGACAGAAAAATAATAGAAGACAAAAATAGGAACAAAGAACAAGGGCAACAAATAGAAAACAGTAATATATATGGTAGATATGAATCCAACTATATAAACAATAATTTTGAATGTCAATGCTCTACATGCACCAATTAAAACAGAGATTGTCAGACTGGATCAAGAAACAAGACCCAACTAAATGTTGTCTACCTGGAACCTACTTTATATATAAAGACACATAAAGATTAAAAGTAAATGGATGGAGAAATATGTCATTCTAACATTAATCAAAACAACATAGGAGTAGCTATATTAATTCATACAGAGCCAACTTCAGACCAAGGAAATTTATCAGGGATAAAGAGGGGCATTACATATTGATAAGGTGGTCAATTCTCCTAGAAGACATACTAATCATTAACATGTATGTGTCTAACAACAGAGCACCAAAATACATGAGGCAAAAACTGATAGAACCTCAAGGAGAAATAGATGAATCCACTAACATAGTTGGAGACTTCAACATCTCTCTATCAGAAATGGAGCGATCAAGCAGGTAGAAAATCAGTAAGGACATGGTTGAACTCAACAATCCCATCAGTCAACTGGACATAAGGGACATCTATAAACTACTTCATATAACAACAGAACATACATTCTTCTCAAGCTCACATGGAACATTCATCAAGAGAGACCACATTTGGGGACAAAAAACACTTTATCAAATTTAAAAGAATAGAAATCATACAATGTCTGCTCTCAGACCACAATGAAACTAGAAACCAATAAACAGACAGTTAGAAAATTCCAAAATACTCACAGATTAAAGAACACCCTTCTTTTTTTTTTTTTTTTTTTTTTTAAATTTTTGGTGTTTATTTCTGAGAGAAAGAGAGAGAGAGTGCACAAGTGGGGGAGAGACAGAGAGAGAGGGAACACAGAATCCAAAACAGGCTCCAGGCTCTAAGCTGTCAGCACAGAACCCGACACAGGTCTCGAACCCATGAACCATGAGATCATGACCTGAGCCGAAGTCAGACACTGAGCCAACTGAGCCGCCCAGGTGCCCCTAAAAAACACCCTTCTAAATATCACACAGGGCAAGTAAAACTCTCAAAAGAAATTTAAAAATATTTTGAACTAAATGAAAACACAATTTGTCAAAAGTTATGGGATACAGTGAAAGCAGTGCTTAGACGGAAATTTATAGCATGGAATGCATATGTTAGAAAATAAGAAAGATTTAAAATCAATCATCTAAGTTTCCATGCTAGGAAACTAGAAAAAAAGAGCTAATTAAATTCAAAGTAGGCAGAAAAAAGAAATAATACAAATTAGAACAAAAAAGCCAATGAAATTGAGAATAGGAAATCAATTGAGAAAATTAATGAAACCAAAAGCTGGTTCTTTGAAAAGATCAATGAAATTGATAAGCCTCAAGCCTGGCTAACTAATTAAAAAGAGAGGAGACAGATTATTAATATCAGGAATGAAAGAGGGGAACTTCCTCAACTTGATAAAGACTATCTACAAAAATTCTACTGTTAACATCTTGTTTATGGTGAGAAACTTGAAGCTTTCTCGCTAAGATCAGAAATAAGGTAAGAATGTCCCCCTTCACCACAGCTTTTTAACATTACACTGGAAGTCCTAGCTAATGCAAATAAAGAAGAAAGGGAAATAAAACTGTTTGTTCTCAGATAACATGATCATCTATGTGGAAAATAGCATGTACAACCAAACAAACAAAAACTCCTGGAACTAATTAGCAATTATAGCAGGGATGCAGGGTAAAAGTTAATGCACAAAAAGCAATTGCTTTCCTATATACCAGCAATGAACAAATAGGATTTGAAATTTAAAACACAATACTATTAATATTTTATTTTTTGTTTTTTATACCATTACTATTTTAAATAATTCAAGCTTTATTTTTTCTTTTTAAATTTTTATTCAAATGCTAGTTAGTTAACATACAGTGCAATATTGGTTTCAGGAGTAGAATTCAGTGATTCATCACTTATATACAACACCCAGTGCTCATTATAACAAAGCACAATACTATTTATATTAGCATTCCCAAAATGAAAAGTTTAGGTATTAACGTAACAAAACACATACAAGATCTATATGAGGAAAACTACAAAAACTCTGATGAAAGAAATCAAAGAAGAACTAAATGGAAAGATGTTCCATATTCATGGAAAGGAAGACTCAACATTGTCTAGATATCAGTTCTTTCCAGATTCCTCTATAGATTCAATGCAATATCAATCAAAATGCTACCTAGTTATTGTGTGGATATTGGCAAACTGATTCTAAAGTTTATATGGAGGAGCTTTTGGTGGCAGGGTCTGGGGAAGGGCTGTCAGGTGCCATGTCTGACCATGAAGGTGGCAAGAAGGAGCCCCTGAAGCAGCCCATGAAGCAGGCCAAGGACATAGATGAGGAAGATAAGGCACTCAAGCAGAAACAGAAAGGGGAGCAGAAGAAACTCAAGGAGCTAAAAGCAAAGGCTATGGGGATGGGCCTCCTGGCCACAGGTGGAATTAAGAAACCTGACAAAAAGTAAGCTGTTTTTTTATGCCTGAGACAATGTGATCCTTTTTTTTTTTTTTTTTTTTTAACGTTTATTTTTGAGACAGAGAGAGACAGAGCATGAACGGGGGAGGGTCAGAGAGAAGGAGACACAGAATCTGAAACAGGGTCCAGGCTCTGAGCTGTCAGCACCGAGCCCGACGCGGGGCTTGAACTCATGGACCGCGAGATCATGATCTGAGCCAAAGTTGGCTGCTTAACCGACTGAGCCACCCAGGCGCCCCGAGACAATGTGATCCTTAATTCCATTCCTGTTCAAACATTTGGATTCCTTGTCATAGTATCTGTTGCCACCTATAGCTAGAATCAAGTGTTGTCTTAGATCTGTTAGTACATTTAAGAATAAACTTTTGTAAAAAGAATCATAACAAAAATAAAGTTTATATGGAGTGGCAGAAGGCCTAGAATGGCTAACACAATATTGAAAAACAAAGTAGGAAGACTGACACTACCCAACTTCAAGACTTGTTATAAAGCTACTATAATGGAGATAGTGAGAATTGGCAAAAGAATAGATAATACCTAATAGACAGAATACAGAGCCCAGAAATAAATCCACGTAAATATAGTCAACTGATTTAAGACCAAGGAGCAAAGGCAATAAAATGGAGCAAAGATAATCTTTAAAAAAAAATTGATTAATTAATTTTGAGAGAGAGAGAGAGTTTGCATGTGCACATGCAGGGAAGGGCAGAGACAGAGGGAGAGAGAATCCTAAGCAGGATCCATGCTGATGTGGGGCTCCAACCCACAAACCATGAGACCACCATCTGAGCTGAAGTTGAGTCCCATTGCTTAACCCACTGAGCTACCCAGGCACCCCAAAGATAATCTATTCAACAAATGATGCTGGGACAACTGGATATCCATATACAAAAGAATGAAGTTGGATCTCCTATCTTATACGATATACAAAGATTAATTCAAAACGGGCCAAAGGCCTAAATGTTGGAGCTGAAATTATAAAACTCTTTGAGGAAAAGAAGGTGTAGGGTAATGGTCTGGCTTGGCCAGAGGAAGTCAGCAAATCAGTGTGATGGCAGAGGCCAGGCCACAGACGTTGATGCCCCTAGGCACCCCAAGGCAGCTCTTGAAGAGCTTGGGATTTCTTACCACCAAGTTTGTGTCAATTCTGTAGGAGGCAAAAGAGGGCATGGCATGCTTGACCTCAAGCTTAGGTAGCTGACAGCCTGTGTGTTACCGCACAGGAAAATGGGTAGTGACTACTATTGGGTTGATAGGGTGGGTGTTTCCTTTTGGGGTGATAAAGATGTTCTGATATTAGATGTGGTGATAGTTGCACCTTTGTGAATATACTAAAAACCAGTGAAATGTACACTTTACAGGGGTAAAATTTATGGCATATGAATTATATAGCAATTTAAAAATTGGGGCTATAAATGAAGATCCATAGTGTTAACTTTCTCTCTTTTTTTTTATTTTATTTATTTTTGGGACAGAGAGAGACAGAGCATGAACGGGGGAGGGGCAGAGAGAGAGGGAGACACAGAATCGGAAACAGGTTCCAGGCTCTGAGCCATCAGCCCAGAGCCCGACCTGGGGCTCGAACTCACAGACCGCGAGATCGTGACCTGGCTGAAGTCGGACGCTTAACCGACTGCGCCACCCAGGCGCCCCAATAGTGTTAACTTTCAATGCACACCTTCTATGTGTTGGGCACTGCAGTATTTATAAATTCTGCCTCATTGAGCTTACAGTTCGGTCAATAGTGCATATTTCACATTGATTTCACTCACTGTGTACCTACCATGTGAACCTTTCTGACATTCTGGGAGATTCCCAGAAAAATAACATCTGGTCCCTGAATACCTTATTCCAGGTATACACACAGGCGCGTCCAACAAGCTGCTATAGACAATGTTACCTAAAGTGTTAATTTCCGGCTAAAAGCCAAGGCAAAAATCTGTTACCAAGGGAAAGGGGCGCAATTTCATTAAAGGGAGAAGGGGGAAAAAAAAAAAAGCCTAGGCATCCATGATGGGGCGGTCCCAGGAAGTGACGCCACGCTCAAGTTCCGGTTCCGCCTGTTCCGGGCCACTGGCGTATCTCGCGTAACTGCGCTGTGCACGTGTGTTGTCCGGGTTCGTGTTGCGGTAGCCATGGACGCTTTGGATCGAGTTGTGTAAGTGCGCTGGGTCCCTTCTCTTGGGGACGTTGGGGAGTGGGACTCGTGTGGTGGGGACGAGTGAAAAAAACCTCCTCTCCGCCTGGGCTACTCCTCTCGTTCCTTCCGCTGTTTGGCTTGTGGTGGGTCGATGCATCCGCTAGCCTAAGTCTCTAGCAGTGCAGCTCGCTGGGCGATGAAGTGCCGGGAAGCCCACTGGTGGGAGCTGCCAGGCGGTAACACGGAGGTGTTCGCCGCTTTTATAGCCAGTTAGAAAAGTGCTGGTTTCCCGAGAAGCGTGAGGAAGGTGGTCGAATGAATGGTTACGAGCACAAGGCCTCGGAATCTGACGGATGTAGGTGACAGTTCGGGCGCGTTCACAAAACTTTGTGACTTTAGGCCATTTAATCCCCCTAAACCTCAGTTTACTTTGTATAATAGCGTTCGTAATAATCGTACTTCATTGAACTGTGAAGATTACTGGCGAGAATGTATGTACGTAAAGCCTTTGCTACAGCACGTAGAAATGTTCGTTAGTTTTTTTGTTCCCTTGAGTTGATGTTTGTTTTAAATGCGTTCAGAAAATACTTATTGGTCTTCTGAATAGTCCTGTTATTTTTTGGGATTTGCCTGAATTAACATCTAATCGAAACAAATTCTTCTTTTAGTCATTAATTCAGAGAATTTTGTGCATCTGCTATGTATTCCTCTAGGTATGGGGACTGCAAAGATGAGTAAGACTATGATCGGATTGGGGAACAAACAGCTGATACAACACAGAAGATGTTATTTGCATTAGTTGGTTAGTGAGAAGTAATAAACCACATGAAATATAGAGCACTGTTTTTTGCCATAAGACATACTAAATATTTTTTGATTTAATAAATAATGTGTATCTTTATCAAACAGTAAGTGATTGGAAGCTTTATTTATATTGCTTAACACTTTGTCTGCAGGAGAATTTTTAAACTCTGCTTGATAAATGAAGTGTGTGTATATTGCGTTTTTCTTTTCCTGCTCAAAGTGTCCACAGGACTGAAAGGAGGATGGTGGGTCGTAGTTATTTAAGAGAGGAGAAATTCTTTCAGTAGATGGTCAAGAACTGTTGGAAAAGCAAGATATAGTGGAAGCAGAACAGAATTTCTCTGAACAGAATTGTATAAAACCATTCTACTCCTGCTGTCACATCATAAAGTCAGAATAATGAATTTGTTTTCCCTTCATATTTTGCACAGTGGTCGAGATGAGTTTTTAAATTTTGCTCATTTTGAAGATTGGCTTACTTGCAAGTTGTGTGACCTTGGCCAAATTACCTCTCTGGCTTCAGTTGCCTCAACTGTAAAATGAAGCTAATAATTTTACCTGTGTGGTAGGGTCTTGGTGAAGATAAGCCTTAGTAAGGTAACTCTATAAAAGTGTCAGTCATTATTATTCCCCGTTGGCGGCAATAATGTTTGACTTTTTCAGCTGTGATGTTGGAGTGGGATAGTGTATACTTCCCGGTAGGTCTACAACCTGTAGGAAAGATAGACAATGAGTAGCCTCCCTGTGTTTGGTAACTGCCCACAGATTGATCACTAGTTGGTGTGCAATGCTTTGTGTTAGGGTAAGAGTGCTGTTTGCTCTAAGGCTGAAGGAAAAATGATGGAATAAAAATAGCAACAGTCTTCATTGAGTCTGTTTTTTTTTTTTTTTTTATGAAAGGTTTAGAGAAAAAACAGTAATAAAGGAATGTTGGTGATATTAAAAAAATGAAAGCCTTTACAAAAAATCAAAAGCTAATAAAGTTAACACTTACTTAATAGTAATAGCTGAATACCTTTTGTTAATATCTCCCTAAAAAGTGAGATTTTTGTCTAGTGGTGGAATCCTAACTGATAAATGTTATGTAATATTTGTTGATTTTTAAGAATTTGTATGTTAGTAAAGTCATGATTTTGTACTATGAGGAAAATGTTTTAAGTTGTTACAAATTGTGATTTTCCAAACAGAAAGCCAAAAACGAAACGAGCCAAGAGATTCCTTGAGAAGAGAGAACCGAAACTTAGTGAAAATGTTAAAAATGCTATGCTGATTAAAGGGGGAAATGCAAATTTACTGGTGACACAAGTACTTAGAGATGTGGTATGTATATAATAATTTTTTTATTTTTATTTTTGAAAGGTTTTATTTTTTAAGTAATCTCTACACCCATTGTGGGGCTCGAACTTACAACCCTGAGATCAGGAGTAGCACACTTTACTGACTGAGCTAGTCAGATGTCCCTATACACTTATTTTTTAAATGGTATTGGAATCATTTTAGGAAATTTTCAGCATACAAGTTTGGGCTGCTGGATACGTGGATAAGTTTGCCTTGCCTTAGAAAAAAGCTCAAGTTGGAGATAATTTGCCATGGCAAGACACTATCCACTGGTTTTCCTTAAAGCAACTACTGTTATTCCTTTTGTAAATTTGAACTGATTTCAATGACTGGACTTTGGTTTACCCACATTTAAGGAACATCTCTAGTTTGTAAAGTGAAATAACTGCATATCACTATCTGTTTATTCCGTCAGCAACGCCAAGCACTGCGCTAGGTGCTGAGGATTAAGAGTTACATAAGACACGTCTGTCCCTTCAGTGAGCTTAATGAGGGAGACAGGCAAATAAGAAATTATAACACTGCATTAACTGCTGTGCTGGAGGCATGTAGAGGCTAGGATAGGAGGCAGTTAAAATCCCATAGGGGTAGCCATACACAGAATGGGCTTCCCAGAGGAGACACTTCATTTTGAAGGAGGAGTCAGAACAAGGAGGAGGAGAGGAAGAGAAGCAGAAAGTCTTCCAAGGTTGAGGAAAAAACTTGTGCAAGAGGGAACGTGAAGGAGCATATGATGTGTTTGGGGAACTGCAAATAATTGGGGATGGCTAAAGGAAAGTGGGCTTGATGGAGCTAGAAGAACATGCAGGGATCAGGTAGCAACACGGAGTTTAAGCTTTGTTGTAAAAGATCTGAGGAACCACTGAAAGATTGGAGGTGGCAGATATGATCAGTCCTTTTAATCAGTTTGACCAGGGAAAACTGAGAGCAAATGTAGCAACTGATTCAGCCATTGTTTTCAGCCGGGTAATGAGTATCTGGAATGTGGTGGTGCCAGTGAAAATGAGAGATCATCAGAGAGACTAGATGATGAGGGTAGAAGAGTTTGGGCATGAGTAAGAAGTATGAACTTCCCAGGTTTCTGGGTTGGGTTCTTCATAAGTGATAATGGCAAGTAGAGAATATGTCATGTGGAGCAGGTTTGAAGAGAAAAGTAATATGTTCAGTTCAGGGCCTATAATATAAGTGATGAAGTTAAAAGCTTTATGTTTTTCCTACCTATGTAGCCTCATGTCTAGCCCTTTGTGTGACACACAGTAGGTGCTCAGTAAATATTTAATCAGTGAATGAAAGGCATAGTCCATGGAGATACCTAGTAAGTGGCTGATTATTTAGGCCTTGGATACAGCAGATAGATTCTTTGAGTTAAATCAACTAAATAATTGATTTTTAAACTTGACTAAACTGTTGACGTTTGTTAAACACTATAGTCAGTTCAGATAGCTGAATAATCTAATACATGCTCATCCTTCTCAGTGTCATTGTGTTGATAGGATTCTGGCCCTGTATTTAAGTAAGTTCCAAGAATAGCACAATGTTACAGGTTATTACAGTAGTTAACATTCATATTGATGATTCTTGAGTTGTCACTGTGCTAGTGTGCATTACACCAAGGCAGGGAAATATTTGGTCAAGAATTACCAAAAAGTTTTCCTACTGAAGGGGTGCCTGGCAGGCTCAGTCAGAAGAACATGCGACTCTTGATCTTAGGGTCATGAATTCAAGCCCCAGTTTGGGTGTAGAGATTACTAAAACAAATAAATAAACTTAAAAAAAGGAAAAAAAAGTTGTAGTACTTAAAAGATAGGTTTTACTGCTGGATTTCCTTTATCTATCAGCTCTGATAGTCATTTCCCTTTTCATTGTTTCCCTCATTTACTCCTTTCCCTAATGTAAGGTAATGCCTTAGATCTTTGTTATTCCTTACAGTAGAGCAGAACTGATCATACTGGTAACAACTGATTATTAGTGGATGAGTGGAAAGAAATAAGAAAAAAATGAAAAGAGGGCTGAACGACAGGAACTTAAATTTGTTTTTAGTGTTTATGTTTGAGAGAGAGGTACAGCGTGAGCGAGGGAGGGGCAGCGAGGGAGGCACAGAATCTGACACAGGCTTCAGGCTTCGAGCTGTCAGCACAGAGTCCGACACGGGGCTCGAACTTGCCAACTGTGAGATCATAACCTGAGCTGAAGTTGGACACTCAACCAACTGAGCCACCAACTGCCTCGACAGGAATTTTTTAAAGGGCTGAATTTAAAAACTGTAGTTCTTTTTTTTTAAAAAAAAAATTTTTTTTTCAACGTTTATTTATTTTTGGAACAGAGAGAGACAGAGCATGAACGGGGGAGGGGCAGAGAGAGAGGGAGACACAGAATCAGAAACAGGCTCCAGGCTCCGAGCCATCAGCCCAGAGCCCGACGCGGGGCTCGAACTCACGGACCGCAAGATCGTGACCTGGCTGAAGTCGGACGCTTAACCGACTGCGCCACCCAGGCGCCCCTGTAGTTCTTATTGTCCTCATTGTAACTGTTTCTCAGCTCTCTCATCTCCAGATAACATTATTTCAATTCTATCAGCTTTTCTTGATAGGTTTTATTTATTTATTAAAAAAATGTTTTTAATGTTTATTTATTTTTGAGAGAGAGAGAGAGACAGAACTCGAGCAGGGGAGGGGCAGAGAGAGAGGGAGGCACAGAATCCGAAGCAGGCTCCAGGCTCTGAGCTGTCCGCACAAAGCCTGACATGGGGCTGGCTCAAACCCACGAACCATGAGATCATGACCTGAGCCAAAGTCAGACGCTTAACTGACTGAGCCATCTAGGTGCCCCTATAGGATTCGTTTTTATCTGCTTTCTTTTGCTTTTCTTTCTCCTCTCAAATTGTTTTCCTGGAAAGAATAGAATAGGTAGAATTTAAAGAAATTAAAGAAATCATTTAAGTTGGATAGATTTTTGAAAGGGCATAGAAACTTTTTTTTTTTTTTTTTGAGAGACAGGGCACGAGTGAATGAAGGGCAGGGGAGTAGAGAGAGAGAGAGAGAGAGAGAATCTGGGGGGTGGGCAGAGAGTTGGAAAGGGAGAGAAGTGGGGTTCATGTTTTTACCTGAAGTGGGGCTTATATTCACATCAAGTGGGGGCTTGAGCTCACCTGATGTGGGACTGGAACTCCTGAATTGTGAGATCATGACCTGAGTCAAAGTCAGATGCTTAATCGACTGAGCCACCCAGGTGCTCAGGGCATAGAAACTTTTAATTGGGAAAGTGTAGTCTAAGTCAGAATATTAAGCTTATGTTACAGGTTTAGATAAGTGATCAAAAGAGAGCCAAGCAGAAGACCTCAGAATAGGATTCAGGGACCAGGTAATCTTGTATAATGACTGATATAATACAATTTAATTTTTATCTCTGCTTTTCAGAATGTAATTTATTTTGAAAACTAAATTATGTTTTACAGTATGCATTGAAAAAACCATATGGCATTCTGTATAAAAAGTAAGTAGTGATTTATTTTAACTCCTATTATTCTGTTATAAAAGTAATAATTACTTTATGGGAGATTTAGAAAAATACTTTGTTTAAGAAATATGACAGGGACGCCTGGGTGGCTCATTTGTTTAAGCAACCAACTCTTGGTTTCAGCTCAGGCCATGATCTCACGGTTTGAGCTTGCTTGGGATATTTCTCTCTCTCTCTCTCTCTCTCTCTCTCTCTCTCTCTCTCTCTCTCTCTCTCTCTCTCTCCCCCTCTCCCCCTCACCTCTCTCCCCCTCCTTCCTCCTCTCTCTCCCCCGCTTCTTCTCTCTGTCTCTCTTTGCCCCTCCCCGCTCACGGGCACTGTCTCCCTCTCTGTCTCAAAACGAATAAACATTAAAAAAAAAAAAAAGAAAATGACAGTTCCTTAAATACAGCTATTAACATTACTTATTTATTTCATCTATTTATGTTTTTATTTAAATTTTTGAACATTTATTATTTGAGAGAGAGCGCATGCATGTGCACACATGAATGTGAGCAGGGGACGGGCAGAGAGAGGAAGAGAGAGAGAGCGTGCATCCCAAGCAGGCTCCTCAGTATCAGCAGGGCCTGACTTGGGGCTTGAATTAATGAATTGTGAGATCATGACCTGAGCCAAAATCAAGAATTGGATACCTAATTGAGCCACCCTGGAGCCCCTATTTTTTTATTTTTTATCATTAGTATTTTTAAAACTTATTTCTTTCTAGTTTGTGTTTTCATTTGTATGAATATTCTTTTTTTATATAATTTTTTTTTTTTAACGTTTATTATTTTTGGGACAGAGAGAGACAGAGCATGAACGGGGGAGGGGCGGAGAGAGAGGGAGACACAGAATCTGAAACAGGCTCCAGGCTCCGAGCCATCAGCCCAGAGCCTGACGCGGGGCTCGAACTCACGGAGCGTGAGATCGTGACCTGGCTGAAGTCGGACGCTTAACCGACTGCGCCACCCAGGCGCCCCTGTATGAATATTCTTACATGGTTGTAATCTTATCATATGTATATTATTTTGAGTGATTATAGATTTAAAGAAAAGTTGCAGAAATAGTAGAGTTCTCATATACCCTTCATCCAGCTTCTCTTAATGTTATGTTTTATGTAACCATAGTACAATTATCAAAAGTAAGAAATGAACATTGGTACAATAATGTTTTAACTGCACTATACACTTGACTTGTTTCACCAGTTTTTCCAATAATATCCTTTTTCTCTTCCAGGATCCTATATTGCATTTAGTTGTCATGTCTCCTTACTCTCCCATTTGTGACAGTTCCTCAGTCCTTCCCTTTTTGATGACTTTGACGTTTTTGATGAGTACTTGTTAATTATTTTGTAAAATATACCTCAGTTTGTATTTGTTTTACATTTCTCATGAATAGATTGAGCCTTATGTGTTTTTGGCAACGGTACCACAAAAGTGATGTGCTTTTCTCAGTAAATGATACCAGGGATGTCTTATGTTGGTAGCATTAACCTCGGTTAAAGTGATGTCTGCTTGGTTTCTCCACTAGCAATTTACTATTTTTCCCTTTGTAACTAGTAAATGTTTGGAGGAAATATTTGGAGACTGTGCAAACACTGTGCAAATAATCCTCTTTCTCCTCACACTTTTGCTTATTAATTTTAGCATGCATCAGTGACTGTTGTCTACATAGGGGATTACTCTTGGTGTTCTAATGGTGGTTTTCTGTCTCATTCCTTCTACATTTATTAATTGGAGTTTTGTAAGGAAAATCTCTCTCTTTGTTGAATTACTCATTTATATTAGTGTGGACTTACAGATACTTATTATATTCTTTGAGTTATAATCCAATGCTGTCACTATTTTGTTGCTCAAATTATTATACCTTTTGCCATTAAGATCTCTTTCAGGGTGGCTCCTATGTTCTTTCAACATGCCCCTTGTGTTTAAGTCCTCCTTTTTGGTGCCACACGATGCTCCAAGCTCATCTTGTATTTTAAAGCTCTGGAATCAGTCCCTTCTCTGTGGAGTCCTGTTTCCATATATCGGGGGCTGGTAATTTAGAAAACAGAGATCTGGGCACAAAAGTATGCTTAGTTGCTACAGAAGTGTCATTGTCTCTAGATCCTCTTAGCAGACAGACCTTGAAAATAAGTATTATGCATGTTAACCCATGCATACATGTACATCTAATTTAATTTTACGTATTTAAAAAACTGAATTCATACTGCTACTTCCTAAAAAAAATCATGAGTTTTATTTTTTTAATTTTTTTTCAATGTTTTTTATTTATTTTTGGGACAGAGAGAGACAGAGCATGAACAGGGGAGGGGCAGAGAGAGAGGGAGACACAGAATCGGAAACAGGCTCCAGGCTCCGAGCCATCAGCCCAGAGCCTGACGCGGGGCTCGAACTCACGGACCGCGAGATCGTGACCTGGCTGAAGTCGGACGCTTAACCGACTGCGCCACCCAGGCGCCCCAAAATCATGAGTCTTAATACTACTTCCAATTCTAGTCCAGTGCCACAGACTTCATTCCAGCCTTTCTTCTTTTCTTATTTGTAACTTTGCTTCTTCTGACAGTAAGAAACCTGGCTTTCATGATTGATAGTATGTTTATTGATTTGTAGGTTTCTAGTACGTGCATACTTTCAGAATGTCTAACCCTGTGAGAAACAAAATTACTAACTAAAGTATAGAATGTGTGTACAGGTCTTTGTCTTTAGCCTTAGGGTGTCCAGTTCAAATGTAACTTAGGTTGGGTTTTTTTCTGCCTCTTTAATGTGATTGTATTATTACTTTATTTTTTTAATTTTTTTTTAATGTTTTATTTATTTTTGAGACAGGGAGAGACAGAGCATGAACAGGGGAGGGTCAGAGAGAGGGAGACATAGAATCTGAAACAGGCTCCAGGCTCTGAGCTGTCAGCACAGAGCCTGACGCGGGGCTCGAACTTACGGACCGCGAGATCATGACCTGAGCCAAAGTCAGCCGCTTAACCAACTGAGCCACCCAGGCGCCCCGATTGTGTTATTACTTTAAACTACACTTAGGGTCATTTATTAGATTGTATTCTATTTTGAGTTTTTCTCCACTTTTCTCTCGGTTGTTTGAATTTAAGTATGTAAAATTTACTCTTTGTGGTGTACAGTTTTATGAGTTTTTAAAAATGCATTGAGCTGTGTCTGCCACATGATATGGAAACAGTCATGATACAGAAACAGTATCATTATCCTAAAAATTTCTTTGTGCAGTGTTCTTGAGGGCCACTGTTTCCCCTCCCCCCTGTAACCAGTGAACTGTTTGCTATCCTTATAGTTTTTCCTTTTTTAGCATGTTACATAAATGGAATCATACAACACATAGCCTCAGAGTCTATCTTCTTTCTTTAGCAAAATAATAAAATATTATCTGTGTTTTTGCCATACATTATATTAAAAAAAAATTTTTTTTTTAAACGTTTATTTAGTATTGAGAGACAGACACAGAGCATGAGCAGGGGAGGGACTGAGAGATGGAGAGACACAGAATCTGAAGCAGGCTCCAGGCTCTGAGCTGTCAGCACAGAGCCCAGCGTGGGGCTTGAACCCACAAACCGCTAGATCATGACCTGAGCCGAAGTCAGACGCTTAACCAACTGAGCCACGCAGGCACCCCAACATACATTACATTTTATATCAAGCCTTTTTCATTTATATTATAAACATTTTTCTTAAAAAATTTTTTTTAAATGTTTACGTGTTTTTGAGAGAGATGGAGAGAGAGTGCGAGCAGGGGAGGGGCAGAGAGAGATGGAGACACAGAATATGACGACAGGCTCCAGGCTCTGAGTTGTCAACACAGAGCCCAACATGAGGCTCGAACTCACAAACCGTGAGATCATGTCCTGAGCAGAAGTCGGATGCTTAACTCACTGAGCCACCCAGGCGCCCCTAAAATTTTTCTATTAGTAGGTGATCCTTTAGGTATTCTTTTTTTTTTTTTTAATATTTATATTTGAGAGAGAGAGAGAAAGAGAGCATGCAAAAATTGGGGGAGGGACAGAGAGAGAGAGAGGGAGACAGAGGATTCATTACAGGTTCTGTGCTGGCAGCTCAGAGCCTGATGTTAGGGCTTGAACTCACGAACCCTAAGATCATAACCTGAACCAAAGTTGGACACTTAACGGACTGAGCCACCCAGGTGCCCTAGGTATTATTTTCATTGCCAATATAATATCTATTAAATGGTTATGCTAAAATTTATTTATAACTTACCTTAATTTTATGGTTTTTATTTTTTGCTATTCTTATAAATTTTAGCAATTTTATTGCTAAAAATGTAGGTTTTTCTTTTTTGCTATTCTTATAAATTATGCTAAAATGGCCATTTTTACACAGATGAATTATCCTTTTGAATTAATTCCTATGTGAGATTTCTAGACATGAGATTACTTCATGCCCAATAAAGCATATTAATTACTGCTTTTTGGAAAGGTTGTCCTTTTAGCAGAGTGCAATATACAAGTTTCATAGACCATTACCCACTTTTTATGTTTTTAAGCTAAGAAGTCAAAATCATACTTTGTGTAACTTGCATTTTCCATGTTTTCAGCAGGTCATATTTGCTTATTTGTGATTTATAGTTAGCTGATGGTTGTTAATCATAAATGCTGCAGTAGTTTTTCTTCGTTTGTTTGCCTTGCATCTTTATTTTTTTTTATTTTATTTTTTTTTTTAAATTTTTTTTTCCAATGTTTATTTATTTTTGGGACAGAGAGAGACAGAGCATGAACGGGGGAGGGGCAGAGAGAGAGGAAGACACAGAATCGGAAACAGGCCCCAGGCTCTGAGCCATCAGCCCAGAGCCTGACGCGGGGCTCGAACTCACGGACCGCGAGATCGTGACCTGGCTGAAGTCGGACGCTTAACCGACTGCGCCACCCAGGCGCCCCTGCCTTGCATCTTTAAAAATAATACTCTTTTTGGGGCACCTGGGTGGCTTAGTCAGTTGAGCGTCCGACTTCGGGTCAGGTCATGTCTCGCGGTTTGTGAGTTCGGCCTGCGTCGGGCTCTGTGCTGACAGGTCAGAGACTGGAGCCTGCTTCAGATTCTGTGTCTCCCTCTCTCTCTGCCCCTCTGCCACTCACACTCCGTCTCTCTCTCCTTCAAAAATAAATAAACATAAACAAAAATTCTTTTTTTACTGATTATAAAAGTAATACATGCTACTCTTAGATAATTGGGATAATAGAATAATCACCCATAGCACTATGTACATTCTGACATGTTTTCCCTGTGTATATACATATTTTAATTGGTTTTATTTGAGTATGGTTGACACACAATGTTACATTAGTTTCAGGTGTAAAACATAGTGATTTGACAAGTGTCTCCATTATGCTGTGCTCATCATAGGTGTAGCTACCATCTGTCATTATTATGTTATTGTCTATATTCTTTATGCTGTGTCTTTTATTCCCATGACTTATTGATTCCATAACTGGAAGCCTGTATCTCCCATTCCCTTCACCCATTTTCACATGTGTACAGATATTTTCATGTCTGTATGTTTATTTTATTCTTTGAACAAAATTAAGATCATGTACATAGATTTTGCTTCATAAAAATTATGAACTATTTTATGGAAACTTCATTTACATGATGAGAAATCAGAGATTATAAGTGAACACATATAGTTTCTTATGTTTTACCAGAATTTCTTTATGCATATTTAAGCAAAGAAAAATATACGTATTTCTCTCCCTTTTGCATGAAAGATAGCATGTTCTACTCCAGCTCCCCTACTAGTGTTCTTGGTCCAATACACCATTTATTTCTTTCTCTCCTGGATTACTGTGATAGCTTCTTGCTAATTCTTTTCTCTCTTGCCATAACTACATTCCCTTTTCACATAGTAGACAGAATAGTCCTTTAAAAAGAAAATTTGAGGGGTGCCTGAGTGGCTCAGTCAGTTGAGCATCCAACTCTTGATTTTGGCTCAGGTCATGATCCCAGCGTTGTGGGATTGAGCCCTGCATCAGGCCCTGTGCTGAGCGGGGAGCCTGGTAGAGATTCTCTAAAATAAAAAAAATTTAAAAACGATTATGATTTTAAAAAAGTAGTAGTAAAAAGAAAATTTGAGTTCAGTCATGTCACTCTCCTGCCTGAAACTCTTTAGTGCTTCCTGTTACTATATTAATATTTACATTCCTTACCTTGACCAACAAGGCCTTACCTTGACCAACATAATCTGGGCCATGCCTACATCTTTGACCTCATGCCCCACCATTTTCCCTTTGCATGCTAAGCTTCGTTGATACTTGCCTTCTTTCCATTTCTTGAATAGTCTAAGCTTGTTTCCATCTCAGAATCTTTGCTTATTGTGTTCCTTCTTCCTAGAATACCCTTAGCCTCAAAACTTTTTAAAAAAAAATGTTTATTTTGAGAGAGAGAGTGTGAGTAGGGGAGGGGCAGAAAGAGAGAGAGAGAGAGAATCCCAAGCAGGCTCTATGCTGAGTGGGGCTCAAACCCACAGACCATGAGATTATGACCCGAGCCAAAATCAAGAGTCAGACGCTTAACTGACTGAGCCACCCAGGCACCTCAACCTCAAAACTTTTCAATGGCTTATTCCTTATCTATCACATCTCAGCTCAAATAGTCATTTTCCACTGTTCATAACTAACACAATACCCTATTTTATTTTTGTCACTACAGTTAATTATTGTTTGAAATTTTTATTTTTCCACTAGAATGTAGGCTGTATGAAAGCAAAGATCTTGTTTGTTTCCTAGTATCCTTAGCCCCTACAACAGTGAGTGACACATAATAGGCACTAAATACATATTTGAATGAATGAATATCCCTCTAACTTTATTTTTGATCATCTACAAAATTATCTTTTTTTAAATATATTACTTAATTGTTATGGGTGAATTGCTAATTAAGATTATTAAAATTAAGGTAATCTTTTAAAAATATTTTTAGGAAAAATATTACAAGACCATTTGAGGATCAGACATCATTGGTGAGTACAAGAAACTCTGATTTAAGACAGCATATACATGATTGGACTAATTACTGTTCCTTTAGTAATTTGTGATGTTTTGAATTCGAAATCATCCTATATGAGGGAATTTTGATGTAAAGTGAAAGTGAAGTAAGATTTATTAACTTAATTTTTAAAGTTTATTTATTTTGGGGGGCAGGGTGGAAGGGCAGAGTGAGCAGGAGAGCGAGAGTCCCAAGCAGGCTCCCCACTGTCAGCACAGAGCCCGATGCAGGGCTGGAACTCCCGAATCAGGAGGTCATTACTTGAGCCAAAGTCAGATGCTTAACCAACTGAGTCATCCAGGCGCCCCTGTTTGTTTATTTTTGAAGTAAGACTTTCATACTTTTAAAACTATGACTAAAGTTTAAAGTTTATTTTGAGAGAGAGGAGAGAGCATGTGCATGTGTGCACGAGCAGGGGAGGGGCAGAGAGAGAAGGAGAGAGAAAATGCCAAGCAGGCTCCTTCACTGTCAGCGCTGAGCCGGATGTGGGGCTCAGTCCTATGAACTGAGATCATGACCTGAGCCAAAAGCAAGAGTTGGGCATTTAACCAACTGAGCCACCCAGGTGCCCCCAGAATACAGTTCGTAAAGTTCTTATATTTATGCATTAATTGGGATTTCTTTGGTTTTATAGGAATTCTTTTCAAAGAAGTCAGATTGCTCTTTATTCATGTTTGGCTCCCATAATAAGAAGCGGCCAAATAATCTAGTAATAGGTAAATATAATTTACTTACTTAAGGTTTGTGTTTACAGTCTGTTTTGTGACTCAGATTAATTGATGGTGTTGAGATTTCAGGAGTAACAAGTAAGCTCTAAGCTGGTTTTTAAAAATTTTTCTTGTGCCTTTGAATGAAAATTTTAATCTATCAGACTGCAGGTAGAGAATAGGCATGTAAAAATACTACTTTACCAAAAGTTGCCAATATTTTTCTAATATAAAATATATGTATCTTAAATCAGTGTTAGAGAAAAAAACAGTAGCATACCTACCCACATAAATTAACCCTTCACCAGTAAGAATTGACGTTTAATTTGGTATCGTCATTGGCTTAGGCAACCCCTTTTACTTCTTATGTGCCTTTATTTACTGTTCTATAAAATAAGGGAGTTTGGTTAAACGATTTCCAAGATCCTTTCAGGGCCAAGACTGCAACACTGTATTCTAGGTAGAGTTGAAAGTTTAAGAAAGAAGGGGACATGTTTGATGGGGTATAAGGAGAAAAAAAAAGGGAGATAATATTTTGGACACGCAAATTAGGTGGGTACATATAAGGTGGCTCTTTGGGAAAAATAAATGTTTAAAAGAAAATGTATTTTCCTTCTAGGTCGTATGTATGACTTCCACGTGCTCGATATGATCGAATTAGGTATTGAGAAGTTTGTCTCTCTAAAAGACATCAAGGTACGGTACTAATCATAAAAATAAAAGCATTTTGTAATGTTGTTCTTGGGCAATAGTGACATCTTGTGGTGAAGAGTACTATTACAGTTTGTAGCTTAACTTTTTATTCTAGTGTGCTCGGAGATAAAAGTAAATTTCATTTTATCTTTATGTTTTTGAGTGTCACTACTTTATTTTGGTGTAAAGACAGGAAGCTGGAAAATACACTATATTTAAAATTTTTTGTTCCTTTTCATGCTGTGGAAACTCCCTCATTTTATTTTTACTTTAAAAAGAGATATAAACATATAACACATATTTGGATCTTCTGGCAGTTAGATTCAGAGTGGTTTTTAACTCTTGTCTAGGCTCATAGTTTAAATGCTATCCTCTCCCTCAATTGTCACAGCACCTATTTTATGGAACCTCAGAAATACTGGAGTTTTCTGGGGCATCTGGGTGGCTTAGTCAGTTAAGTGTCTGACTTTGGCTGAGGTCATGGTCTCGCAGTCCATGGGTTCGAGCCCCACGTCGGGCTCTGTGCTGACAGCTCGGAACCTGGAGCTGGCTTCAGGTTCTGTCTTCCTCTCTCTCTGCTCCTCCCCCACTGGTACTCTGTCTCTTTCTCAAAAATAATAAACATTACAAAAATTTTTTTAAATAAATACCAGAGTTTGAAAGTGAGCCTTGTTCTAAACCTACGATACTTTGGCTGCTCCTACAGTATTTTGGCTGCTGGCCACCAAAATGCTAGTTCAGTCTTTCCCTTCAGGACTTGCATCTTTGTATCTCCTTTGTTTGCATGGGATTATTAAATAGAAAGTAGTAAATAGGCAAGAAAACTGTCCTAATTTAGCTCCTGGGTCCAAACTGGGCTTCTGTTCTCTCAGAACTCTACTTTAGCAGAATCTGTTCCATCAAATGTTCCATCAAGTAATTATTTTATTTAGATTTCGTTGCTACCCTGTGTAAGGCTAAAATTACTTTTCCTATTGGATAAAGTTGGAGATTGAGGCCCAGGGGAATTCCATTGGTGATCTGGAGTCATACATATAGAACTTAGAAAGAAAGGATATTGAAGTTTGCAGTGGAAAGTTACTTAATTGTTCTTGTTTATGGGTCTTTGAAGGTCACGGTATAGTTGAAAGAATTGTAAAATGTGTCATGACTCCTTTTCCTAGTCTCCCCTAAAAAGAGGACATGCCTTCCAAGTTTGTTGTGTGTTTGCAAAAAGGCTCTTCCCAGATGTTACTTAGCTACACCAGCTTCTTCAGGTACAGGGTAGAACAGTGGCCTGAGATTGGATTTCGAGACAGAACAATTGGATTGAAGGCCTGTGTTGGCCATTTAGATGACTTTTGTGACCTGATAAATTACTTGCCTGGCCTTCAGATTGCAATCAAGTATTAAATAGGTATAATAATATCAAATGAGATAATATATGTGAAAATGTTTATCAGCGAAGATAATGTTTTGGAAGGTGTTTGGTAAAGTATGTAAACTGTGATGCCTTGTTATGGTGGAAGCTATCATTTTATTACAGTTTGTCTTTAGGGCAGTGTATGAATCCTTGGAGAGCAGCAGCATATCTGGCTTGGTCACCAGGTAGTGGGTGTGAGCACTGGTTGATGCACGCATGCTAGCCCTCGGTAGCTTCTATAACCACCAGGTCATAAGACCATTATCGTTTGTCAGGTCTCACGCTTGTTCACGCTTAACAAGCGTGAATACTAAATTTTCACTCATGGAGCATATCCATAACTATAATAATCACTAATTCATGACCATATGCTTACATTGGCAGTCCCTACCTACACTGTTAGCCAGAGCTTCACTTTTACCTCGTTATTCCATTACAACTTGTTTTTAGTTTGTTTTGGAATTGCGTGTCTGTTATACTTTCTCTTCATATTTATTTCTTTTCTGCGTCTACCTCCTTATTTTTAAGACCTTTTCTCACTTGCCTACTTTTATTGCCAAGCCAAGCCTCATCCTCCTGTTTACTCTTAAGTGAGAAGTGATTCAGTTCTACCAGGAAATTGAATGATTATTCTGGGAGCTTATTTTCTAAGATGTGGCCAAACTTTTAGGGATGGTTGTTTTACATAAAATAAGCCTTAATGGATGAAATGATTAAAATTTAAGGCCAATGTTGTTGTTTTTTAAATTTTTATTTACTTTTTCCAATGGTTTTATTTTAGATAGGAAAAGATACATTGCAGGTGCCTTGGAGTATTTTATTGGAAAGTTTGTTTATAATTTATAAGACATTTCTGGGGTGTCTGGGTGGCTCAGTTGGTTAAGCGTCTGCCTTTGGCTCAGGTCATGATCTCACGGTTCATGAGTTTGAGCCCCACATCGGGCTCTCTGTGGTCAGCACAGAGCCTGCTTCACATCCTCTGTCCCTCACTTTCTTTGCCCCTCCCCCCACTCCCTCTTTCTCTCTCAGAAATAAATACACTTAAAGAAAAGAATTATTTCCTTTCTTTCCCTTTGTTTTAAAAAAAACTTAATTCAGAAATTTAGTTCAAGGATGTTACATAATTATAATGTTTTTAGTATACTATATGACAGTACTTATGTAATATTTTGAATTTTTAGTGCCTTTTAGATAATTCAAATAAAGCTCATCTGTTGTAGTTTCTTCTAGTTCTGGGTTTACACATTGTGAAAAATATCAGTGACGTACGTGTTAAATACTGTTTCACGTAACTTGTTCAGTTACATATATATATATATTTAAAAAAAAATTTTTTTTAATGTTTATTTATTTTTGACAGAGAGAGAGAGACAGAGCATGAGCAGGGGAGGGGCAGAGAGAGAGGGAGACACAGAATCGGAAGCAGGCTCCAGACTCTGAGCTGTCAGCACAGAGCCTGATGTGGGGCTCGAACTCACAGACCGCGAGATCATGACCTGAGCCGAAGTCAGATGCTCAACCGACTGAGCCACCCAGGCGCCCCATTGTTCATTTATATTTTTATGATGTGTGTACTGGGTCATGACGTAACATGATATTTTTTATTATGCATTGTGGTCAGGATGTTGCTTCACTTTCTCTTACCTTCTGTGTACTTTCTTTTTTTAAAATATTTACTTTTTTTGAGAGAGGGAGAGACAGAGTTAGCAGGGGAGGGGCAGAGAGAGAGAGAGAGAGAAAAGGAGACACAGAATCTGAAGCAGGCTCCAGCTTCTGAACTGTCCACACAGAGCCTGATGTGGGGCTCGAATCCACAAACCATTAGATCATGACCTGAACTGAAGTCTGGCGCTTAATCAACTGAGCCACCCAGTGCCCCATTACCTTCTGTATACTTAAATAGCCTCCATAGACCTAGGGGTAGCAGCAGCAGGGTCAGGGAGGCACAGATGGAACATGGAAGAGTCATTGGGTCTGGAAGGTCCATTCACGCCCTAGAGGCACAGATCTTAGGTACACCTCCTAAGTAGAGACAGTTAAGGTTCAGAGTTAGGAAGCAGAGATTGTCAACAAGAGTGAACAGGAAGAGGCAACAGGTGACCTCTGGTCCTAGGGCAGAGGATATTTGTTTTCTTGTCCTGTTTTTTGTTTGTTTGTTTGTTTGTTTGTTTGTTTCTAGATGTGTACAGTCCTTGATTGATACCAAAATAGAGGTGCTAGAATCAATGGGAAGCTCAGACTAACACTTGTTCACTGTCATAAATTAATCATTCAGTTAAAGAGTTCTATTAGATTTTTTTCTTTTATTTTGGTGGCTTTTAAAGGTTATTATTATTCACATCACATTCTTCTTTGTATGGAAAATCCAGAACTGGACAAAATACTTTTTTTAGTGAGAGCCTCAACCACGCTGAGTAAGGATTGCCCATACATTCTATAGCTTGTATAAAATTCTCTTGTTTCCCATGTTACTGTGGAGTTGGTAGTTTAATCTGGCTTTCATTTAAATACTGTTTATGTGACACAGTAGGAAAGGCACAGTGGTAGCAAATGATTTAAAGAAATTAAATTTGTTTAGACTCTGAGATGTCGGTTGTTAAAAGGCTGTGTATGTTTTGCAGCAATTTTAGCTTTTTATTCTTTGTACAGAATAACTTTAAAAAATAGCTTACATCATTCTTTGACCACTTATTAATTTGGTGATATGAAGGGAGTGGAACAAAAAATATTTTTTTAGTTTAAAAGTTGCAGCTGTAGTTTTAAATCTTTAGATTTTAATCAGTATTCATAAATATAGTTTTAGGACAGTTAAAATATGAAAACTAATCACTGTGTAAGAATTGACTACTTTATTTTTATTTATTTATTTATTTTTTTAAACATTTATTGATTTTTGAGACAGAGAGAGACAGAGCATGAACCGGGGAGGGTCAGAGAGAGGGAGACACAGAATCTGAAACAGGCTCCAGGCTCTGAGCTGTCAGCACAGAGCCCAGCGTGGGGCTTGAACCCACAAACCGCTAGATCATGACCTGAGCCGAAGTCAGCCGCTTAACCGACTGAGCCACCCAGGCGCCCCAGAATTGACTACTTTAAAATCAACTTATAAATAGTTTAGAATTGATAATTTTATAATTATAATTTTTTTTCTGTTTCATAGAATAGTAAATGTCCTGAGGGAACAAAACCCATGTTAATATTTGCTGGTGATGATTTTGATGTAACAGAAGACTACAGAAGGCTAAAAAATCTTCTTATTGGTAAGTATTTTAATACTTCTCCACACGTTTGCTCAAGTAGGCAATCTAAGACTGTCATTGGTGGCACTTTGCCACTTCACTGTATATATACATCTTTTTCTTTTTGATCTCTTTCCTTTCTTCCCCCCTTTTCATTATTTTCTTTTTAAAAAAAAATTTTTTTTTTATTTTTTTTTTTGAGGTGGGGGTGGGGACAGAGAGAGAGGGAGACAGAATCCAAAGCAGGCTCCAGGCTCTGAGCTGTCAGCATAGAGCCCAACGTGTGGCTTGAACTCACGGACCACGAGATCATGACCTGAGCCGAAGTTGGACGTTTAACCAACTGAGCCACCCAGGCACCCTTTCATTATTTTCTTTATTCCCCACTAGCAGTAAGGGAGAGTTAATGGATGTTATAATGCATTGATCATTTTTATTTTTTGATGCTCTAGTAACTTCATTGTCAACCTATATATGAAACATTTTACACTTTATAAAATGCTTCCACCCATTTTATGTCATTATTGGCATCATTAAATTTAGAAAATTAAGAACTTAAATTTTCAAGACTGTTGTACATCATCCACTTCCAACTGAAAAACGTCTATTTTTCTTAGTCTTGATAGGTAAGGTTTTTTAGACTCTAACCCCTTATAACTTTTTTTTTATCTCTCCCAATTTCCTTCCTCTTTTTTCCATTTAAAGTGGCTTATTAAAAATACATTGTACACATTCCTATTGTCTTTTCTGATTTTTGTTCTTGTTTACCTAGTTTCTTCCATTCTTGCAAGTTTCAGATCAAGTTTCATTCCCAGAAAACTTTCAGTGACTTCCCAACAGCTTTTTTTTATTATCCTTAATGATCGATCCTAAATGCCAAGCATATACTAGGTGCTTTATATGTATTGTTTTATTCTCACAACCTTGTAAGGTTGTCTTATAGATGAGTTATTCTTGGTGAACTACACTAGTTCCTAAGGACTTATGTGATGACTACATCCTTTCCTTTGTGTTCACAAGTCCCCTTCATTTTTTTTTTAATGTTTAATTTTGAGGGGGGCGCAAGGGGCAAGGAGAGAGGGAGACACAGAATTCGGAGGCAGGCTCCAGGCTCTGAGCTGTCATAACAGAGCCTGACGCGGGGCCCAAACTCATGAACCACAATATCATGACTTGAGCCAAAGTCGGATGTTTAAGAAAGCCACCCAGGCGCCCCTATTAATTAATTAATTATCTATCTATCTGTTTATCATCCAAGTTAGTTAGCATATGAATGCAACAATGATTTCAGGAATAGATTCCTTAATGCCTCTTACCCATTTAGCCCATCCCCCCTCTCCCAGCCCCTCCAGTAACCCTGTTTGTTGTCCATATTTAGGAGTCTCTTATCTTTTGCTCCTCTCCATGTTTTTATATTATTTTTGCTTCCCTTATGTTCATCTGTTTTGTCTCTTAAAGTCCTCATATTAGTGAAGTCATATCGTGTTTGTCTTTCTCTGACTAATTTCGCTTCTCATAATACCCTCTAGTTCCATCCACATAGTTGCAAATGGCAAGATTTCATTCTTTTTGATTGCCGAGTAATACTCCATTGTATATATATACACACCACATCTTTTTTATCCATTCATCAGTCCATGGACATTTGGGCTCTTTCCATACTTTGGCTATTGTCCATAGTGCTGCTATAAACATTGGGGTGCATGTGCCTCTTCGAAGCAGCATACCTGTATCCCTTGGATAAGTACCTAGTAGTGCCATTGCTGGGTAGTAGGGTAGTTCTATTTTTAATTTTTTGAGGAACCTCCATCCTGTTTTCCAGAGTGGCTGCACCAGCTTGCAAACCCACCAGCAGTGCAAAAGAGATCCTCTTTCTTTGCCTTCTTTCCAACATCTGTTGTTGCCTGAGTTGTTAACGTTAGCCATTCTGACAGGTGTGAGGTGGTATCTCATTGTGGTTTTGATTTGTATTTCCCTGATGATGAGTGATGTTGAGCATTTTTTCATGTGTTGGTTGGCCATCTGGATGTCTGTTCAATTGACTTATTGCAATCTTTGCTATAGGTTCTTACCTGAATTTTTGGTGAGTTAAAAAAAGAAAATCATACATGAAAGACAATGACCAACATTTCCTTTTTTCAAAATTACATACCCCAAAATATCAAGGATGGTTTTTAGCTAAGATTACTTGTACTCCATTGGCCCAGATTTTCTGCCTTTTTCCCTCCAGTTGTTCCATAATAATTGTTAATTGTCAGTATATATTTGTTATAACAGAAGGCTTTCATTTGCTTTTGTATAATTGGTTTTTATAAAAACTTTATTATTTTGTGCTTCCACTAGAGGGCAAGAATAACCACATAATGCAGTGGTGATGGGGAGGGAGTGAAAACCAAAAAAGGAATCTGGGGAAAGAAGGAAGGTAGAGGAGTGAAGTGAGATTGTCAGGTCCCAAGGGCAGTTGTGTTTTCAATGTAAATATGAAGTAAGCCAGCTGCAGACTCCATGGTGTATGTTTTGTGTTCATATGAAGTAAAGTAGAGTGGTGGGGAAAGAGAATGTTATCAAGGGCTTCCATCCTTTTAGGAAGTTCTCTTTTTTTGGTAATTGGCCAGAAAGAAAAGTGAAGTTATTAACTTCAGTGTTTTTATGCCAGGTGCGCATTTAGTTCATGCTGAACTAAATTTTTTTTGCTTCTGTTTTGCTTTCTTAAATACTATCTAGATTTCTATTTAATCTTAGTGGTATTGCTTTTCCTTATAGAAAATCAGTATATCTTTTTTTAGATTTAGTGCATCTTTTTTTTTTTTTTTTTTTTTTTAATTTTGAGAGAGAGGAGTAGAGAGAGAGGGGGAAAGAGAATCCCAAGCAGGCTCCGTGATGTCAGAGCAGAGCCCGACATGGGGCTCGATCCCAAAACTGTGGGATCATGTAGGTCAGGTAATTTATTATGTTTGACTCTTTCTATAGCTTTACAAAGGCAATCATGTTAGTCTGCTTGGGCTGCGGTAAAAAATACCATGTGCTGGGTGGCTTAAAAAACAAACAGTTCTGGTGGCTGAAAGTGCAAAATCACAATTTTTGATGAGGATTCTTGCCAGGTCTTGCTTTGTGCTCCTGGCTTTTCCTTCAGGGAGGAAGGAAGAGAAGGGAAGAGAGGTGGAGGTGGGCGGGGGGGGGGGGGGCAGCTTTCTAGGGTCTCTTCTTATAAGGACACTAATTCTATGGGACCAGGGCCCCACCCTTATGGCATGCCTCATTTAATCTTAATTTCTTCCTCAGAGGCCCATCTCCAAATTCAAACACATTAGGGGTTAGGACTTTTAACATTAATTTAGAGTGGCAAGGGGGTAGGGGCAAACATTCAGTATATTATGATAATATTCCCATATTGTGGATGAAGAAGTTGAGGCCAATTGAAGAGCTAGTAAGTGGCAGAATCAGGATCTGCTGTGTTCTCTAACTGTGGATCCCCTGGTCTTTCCTGTCAACACATGGTAACCTTCTGTCCCCTTTCTCGATGTGTTTACTCGTGGACATAGCCACACATGAGATCTTACTTTTACTTGGAATTGATCCACTGAAAAAAAGATCCAAGTTGGGGCTTTCCTTCTGACCATAACCAATTCATCTTCTACCTCTTCTCCACCCCCTTACTTGTATTTAACCAGGTTTTTATGTTTATCATTACTCATTAGTATCTCTCTTGTTACCTTAGCCATCATTCCTGCCCAGTTTCGGGTCAGCTTTTTTGGCAGTGTTCTGTCTTTCCACACATTTTAATTCATTGCCCCTTTGAGGTGAGGTTTCCATGTTTCAGACTCCTCTTACACATTCATTGCTCCAGCCCTGCAATCAGCTGTTTTCTCTAAGCAGCCCTGAACTTTTATTTTTTAATGTTTATTTATTTATTTAGAGAGACAGTGTACACATGTGCAGAGGAGCAGAAAGAGAGGGAAAAGGGAATCCCAAGCAGGCTCTGGGCTGTCAGTGCAGAGCCCGATGTGGGGCGCAAACTCACAAACTGTGAGATCATGACCTGAGCCAAAGTCAAGAGTCCGACGCTTAACTGACTGTGCCGCCCAGGTGCCCCAACCCTGAATGAACATTTTTAAAATGAGAAATTATTTTAGAAACCACAGTTTGGGTGCCAGGGATTGTTTTGTGGTTGGTCATTGTAGGCTTTTTTAGAGAACGGAACTGTGAATTAAGATTTGTTTGTTAAGATAAAATGTATCTGAGTTCATACCGAAACTTTTAACTTAAATTTAGGACCAAAGGATCTTAACTTCATTGACTTCACATACGTACCTTCTTTCGTCTATGAAAAAAATCCAGGTTCTCAGTGATCCAACACAAGTATGCATTTCTTTTATACTGTACTACCTACCATACAGTGTTACTACTGATGATGTGAATATTGAGTGCAGTTGAAGGTTTTGTTGTGTTGTTTTTGGGGTTTTTTGCAGTTGTTTTTGTCTATAAAATGAAAGGGCGGGCCTACGCCGGCCGACTCCATCTTGTTCTGTGTCCTTCACCTAGACCACGCCTCCTTCCCTTGAGTAACCTCCCGCTCACCCATTCAAACTTCCTGATCAAAACACGCCCCTTCCCCAGCCAATCGGCCGAGGCCACGCCCCTTCCCCAGCCAATCGGCTGCCCCTAGACCCCTATAAAACCTTTGTGCTTTTGAAACTCGCTCTCTCTCCCTGGTATCTCACCGCTGCGTCGGTGCAGGTAGGGGATTGAGCTCGAGCTAGTTCGAATAAAGGCTCTTTTGCTTTTGCATCGGACTCGGCTCCCTGGTGGTCTTTGGGGATCACGAATTCTGGGCATAACATAAAATACATCCTGCTAAGAATATATGGTCAAATCACTGTTTTGAAGTCACTGGGAATAGTTCTTTTTTGTATGATTATGCCTTCAGTTCAGTACGCAGGTTCATTTGTTTTCAGTTTTTAGGGATTACTTTAAATTTTTTAATTTTAAATTATATAACTTTTGAGATCTGCTTTACATAAAAGCAAGTCTGCATATTTAAAGATTTAAAATTTGATGGTTTTTGACATATGTAATACACCTGTTAAAACACCACTTCTGTCAAGGTACAGAACCTATTACACCCAAAAATTAGCCTGTGTCCCTGTGCAATCTATCCTATTTCTGTATTCTAAGCAAACATTAATCTGCTTTCTGTGATTATGGAATAGTTTGCATTTTATAGAGCATTAGATGAATAGAATCACAGTATGTACACTACAGTATGTACTTTTTTTGGTCTGGCTTCTTTCACTCAGCTTGTTTTGAGATTTGTTGGATCTATCAGTTCATTTCTTTTTATTGCTGAACTGTATTCCATTTATAGCTGTTTCACAATTTGTTTATTTGTCATCTGTCAGTGGACACTTAGGTTGATTCCAGCTTTTGATTAGATCAAAATTTTGGTGAGTAGAGCTGCTATGAACACTTATATTCAGGGGGCACCTGAGTGACTCAGTCTTAGGTTAACTGTGTGACTTTGGCTCAGGTTATAATTTCATGGTTTGTGAATTCGAGCCCTGAGTCAGGCTCTGTACTGACAGTTCAGAGCCTGGAGCCTGCTTCCCATTCTGTCTCCCTCTGTCTCTCTGCCCCTCCCCCTCATGCTATGTCTCTCTCTCTCTCTCAAAAATAAATAAACATGGGGCGCCTGGGTGGCGCAGTCAGTTGGGCGTCCGACTTCAGCCAGGTCACGATCTCGCGGTCCGTGGGTTCGAGCCCCGCGTCGGGCTCTGGGCTGATGGCTCAGAGCCTGGAGCCTGTTTCCCATTCTGTGTCTCCCTCTCTCTCTGCCCCTCCCCCGTTCATGCTCTGTCTCTCTCTATCCCAAAAATAAAAATAAAAAAAAAATAAACGTTGAAAAAAAAAATAAATAAATAAACATTAAAAAATTAAAACATTTATATACAAATTTTTTGTGAGGGCATATGATTTCATTTCTTGGGGCGCCTGGGTGGCTCCATCGATTAAGCATTCAATTCTTGATTTCGGCTCAAGTCATGATCCCAGGGTCGTGAGATTGAGCCCTTACGTTGGGCTCTGGGCTGGGCGTGGAGCCTGCTTGAGATTCTCTCTCTCCCTCTCCCCCTCCCTTGCTTGTGCTCGCTTTCAAGAAAATTTTTTTTGATCAGTAGAGCTGCGGTGAGCATTTATATACAGATTTTTGTAAAGGCATATGTTTTCATTTCTTTTGGGTAAATACCTAGCTGGGAATGGAATAGAATGGAATGGTAGGGTCATTTGAATAGCATATGTTTAACGTTTTAAGAAACTGTTCTCCAATACGGTTGTACCATTTTACATTCCTACCAATGGTGTATGAAAAGCTCCAGTTCCACTGCCTTGCCAATACTTGGTAGACCATTCTTTTTAATTTTAGTTATTCTAACGAATATTGTATGCTCATAGTATGTGTTTCTAAATAATTTCTATAAAATTTCTAAAAAATTTCTATAAAATAAAGTAGTGCTGTTGTTGAAGTTGTAATTTGCATTTTCTGATGATTAATGATGTTGAACATCTTTTTGTGTGCTTATTGGCCATTCATATATTTTTGGTGAAGTGTCTATTCAAATCTTTGCCTTATTATTATTTTTTTTTTTGGAGGTTATTTGTCTTCTTGAGTAATAAGGAATAAGGTGTGTGGGGGGAGGGGGGAGCAGAGAGGGAGAGGGAAGTCCTTTGTCTCTTTGTCTGATACACAGTCTTTGAATGTTTCCTCCCAATCTGTGGCTTGCCTTTTTTTTCAGTGACGTCTTTCAAAGAGCAGAAGGTTTTTGTTTTGTTTTGTTTTATTTTGTTTTAAAAGAAGCTTTCCCTGTTTTATTTTTAACGTTTATTTAATTTTGAGAGAGAGAGAGAATATGTGAGCTGGGGGGGGGGGGTGGGGAATAGAGGATCCAAAGCAGACTCTGTGCTGACAGCAGACAACCCAACTTGGAGCTCGAACTCACAAACCGTGAGATCATGACTTGAGCTGAAGTCAGACATTTAAGTGATTGTGCCACCCAGGTGTCCTGAGCAGAAGTTTTTGATTTTTGTGACGTCTGTTTTACATTTTTTTTCTGTAATGGTATGTTCTTCCTGTATTTTAAGAAGCCTTTGCTTACCTCAGCAGCATCACAAAGACTTTTTCTAGTATTTTCTTGTTGAAATCTTAAGAGTTTTAGGTTTTGCATTTAGTTATGATCATGAGTTAATTTTTGTGTATGGTGTGAGGAAAGGGCCAGTGATTTTAAAACTTTCTACTTCAGGGCCCCTGGGTGACTCAGTCAGTTAAACATCCAACTTCAGCTCAGGTCATGATCTTGTGCTTCGTGGTTTCGAGCCCCACATCAAACTCTGTGCTGACAGCTCTCAGGGCCTGGAGCCTGCTTCGGATTCTGTGTCTCCCTCTTTCTTTGCCCCTCCCTTGCTCACGCTCTGTTTCTCTCTCTCAAAAATAAGCATTAAAAAAAAAATTTTCTACCATCATTTTTTTCCTTTGCATTCTTAAAAGCTTATGGAAGAAACACATATTCCTGCTGTATGATTTACATTACAAAAGCTGCTTCAGGGAAACTGAAATGTACATATCTGGTTCCCCAGAAAGATTGACTTCACTAGGGCTTCCAACACAATGAGGGGGACTTTATTAACTTGGCCACTGAAGGAGAGTTAGATTTTGACAAAATAATGGGAGCCCTGTTTGTTGATTATGATGCAAATTTAGATCAGATTACTTTGAAAAAGTACATACTTGGTTTATAAAAATATCCTTGAGGGATTTTTGTTGGGGAAGTAGGGAAGGGTGGTATATACATGTGCATACACAGTTGTTCCTCTTTTATACACGTTAGTGATTTTCTTTTAGTTAACCATGAGAAAGAAAAAAGCAAACAACAAAGGATGTGTATGTCCATGCACTGGAGATGTTTTTCATCTGAGCTAATCGGGAGTGAGAAGGACAATGCTGGGTGGCTACAAATTGGGACCCAATGAGTTTTTCTGTTTACTACATCACTTGCCTTGGGGCATTTCTTCCTAATTAAGTTGGATAAACTTTTATGTATAACTTTTTCTTATCTAAATATTATTTGTGTATTTATGTTTAGCCTTCTTGGGGTTCAGTCTTCTTGGCTGTAAAATGAGGGGACCAAACTTGTTTTTCAGACTTTTTTCATTCTTGTGCTACCTTCATACCTTTAGCCAAGTCCACATAGTATTATGGTGGTGTTCTCCGAAGAGGTTTCTTTACACTGACTCCTCTTTTTACAAGGAAACTTTGTGTCTCTGCCGTGAATGGCAAATGGTATCTGATAAAAAGATAAATAATACATAGTAAATTATTCTGCCTATGTATCATTCAAGATCACTTCATGTGCCACCCGTGGGGAAACAGCCTATTCATGGATCTTAGTGGTTCTTTTCTGGCTTTAACAATTTAGTTTGCTATCTTTGCTCATTTAATTGAGATTTCCTGTTAGAATTTTCTTGTGTCTTGGCTTCTACCATAAAACAGAGGCCAGTTTGATTTAACAGTCAAAGTTTGAACAGCTGTTTTTATAGGAATTTGCCATCTTAACCTACCTGTCTCATAGATAAAAAAATTTATGCTTTGATTTCCATTTGTAAAAAAGTGAACATGCATGATAAATGTGATGGACTCTTAATGCTGAGCATTGGCTTAGAAGGAGAACTTCACAACTGAAAAATTACATGGTTTAGTGAGCTAAACACGGAAAAATAGTCATGAGCTTAAATGGTAAAGGGATGAGAGTCTCAGACATTGTTCGGGGACCAGTTTTTGTACCACCTTTTTATCTTTTTTTGTGAGCAGTGGCACAAAATGGAGCCTCGACAGTCCAGCTCTCTGTAACTGAATTTAAAAACATGTTAGTTTTTTGTCTTTTGTTTTTTTAACAACCTAAAATTTGTTTTTAGATTTCTTCAGAGGCCCCACAGTATCAAATATCCGCCTGGCTGGTTTAGAGTATGTTCTGCACTTCACTGCACTGAATGGGAAGATTTACTTTCGAAGCTACAAGTGAGTGCATTTGTTAGTATACTCTTGAATCCAGGGCTACAGCACTTTAGTGTGACTTTTATAGAGCTTGAACTTAGAATTGGCGTTTGGTCCGAAGTTTGTCTGGAGAGTTGGCAGACAAGCAGTGGCAGGCACAGCAGCTCTGTGCTGATCCTCAGATGTGTCATCCCCCTGCTCACGTCTGCCTCTGAAACCCTGCTTTTCCAGGGCCCCAGAGCATCTGGTGCTGCAGTCCTCCGAGCTTGGAACACTAATTCATTGTGCAATATCTCCTTCTTTTTCTTGACTGGATTTAGAACACCGAGTCACAAGTCTTAGACCAGCCAAAGCAAATCTCAAAACTCTGAGTCTTCTGAGCCTAAAAACTGGAGTCTGAATGGAACGAGCACATTCAGTGGCTCTTTTACCCTCTTCAGCCTAGCCCTTCTACCCCTACCACAATATAAATACGAATCCTAACGCTCTGGTTTTATTTTCATTAAAAAGCTTAATGACATGCTACAATTGTGCCTTTTGAGATAAGCATGATTTTTTTTTCTTATTTATAACAAAGTGTTGGCCCTGGCTGATCAAGCCCACACTTGCCTAGAGAATATATTGACTTCCACAAGCTGCCTTCCTTTGTACATGAAAGACCGATGCTCGTTTGTTTTTGAGCTATGGTATGGAAGTGCAGCCTGAGAGCCACTGACAGTTCAGTGTTGACAGTGACTTGTGTGCCTTTGTGCTATACATGCAGCCACTTGGGGACTTCAGCATTTCATCCATGGTTTAATTTTTTTTTTTTTTTTTTTTAAGTAAACTGTACCCACAACGTGGGGCTTGAACTCATGACCCTGAAAGCAAGAGTCATATGCTCTACTGATGAGCCAGCCAGGCACCCCTCATTTTGGTTTTTTTCCTTCATGATGAAATACCTGGTTGACTAGCTTCTATCAATGAACGTCCAAATGAAAGTAAATATTCACCTTTTTTGTTAATAATTTACATCTTTGTCTCAATTGTATTGAGTCAGAGATAACTCCATTCTTCTCACTATATGTTTGGTGTCATCATTTCTGTTTTTCTATTTTCCTTTTGTTTAGATAATAATAATAGGGAAAATGCAATAAAATAATCCACATGATTGCAAGATGTAGTTAGGGATTTTATAATCATTTTTAGCTGGTTGAGATTGAAAGCCCCTTAAATGTGTTGGAATTTCCCAACTTACTTTGGGGCTATGAAGAATATATTATAAAGTAGATGGCTCCAATTTATAGAACAAGAAAGATGAAAAATCACTAAATAAAAAGAATCTTTTTGGAAACTTGTGTTAAGCAGGCCCTAGGGACATAAAGGAGCTAAAAATATAAAGATCAGAATCTTTGAGGATGAAAAATGGGTAACAGTAATCTAAAACTCTTTCATTGTAAATAGTTTCAAAGAAAGCATTCACTTATATCAGAACTCATATTTAGTGAAAAGAAAGATTAATTTGTAAAGAAAGAAATGCAGAGATAATAAAATGGTCAGAAAATTAGTAAATCAGACTTCGAAACATGGATAAATTAGCAGTGTAACTACACATATCTACCCACCCACTTACTTTAAGAAGAATTAACTGGAATCACTGTTAGGTTAGCATGGCATAACCATTTCCATCCCTTAGTGGAAAAAAGAAAAAAGGTTTGAATTTTTCAGATCAGAGACCCTAGAGTAAACTTTTAACCCCAGGTATTTTGTATAGGCCCTGTAATACCTGTTAGCTGTTGATTTAAAATAGAAAATAGACTGTGGGTGCCTGCCTGGCTGAGTCAGTGGAGCATACAGCTCTTGATCTCGGAGTTGTGAGTTCGAGTCCCATGTTGGGTGTAGAGATTGCTTAAAAATAAGATCTTAAAAAAAAAAAAAGTATTGTGTGATTGAGAGCAAGATGCTAGTGGAGAAAAAAATCACTGGATTAGTTTAGCCTGCAGGGGCTGTGCCCCACTTGGGAGAGGAAGAAAGAAGTGGTCTGAGGAATGAACATCACCTCTGAGCCTAGTGACTTGGCTCAGGGCCAGGCATTAGCCACATGACTTAGGCAGAGCACTTCTCCGGGCCTCCGTTTTTCCTTTGCAAAATGTAGCGATGCTATTTCGGTAATTCTGCAGCCCCTCTGTGATCAACAGTAATTCCTTTATAAGAGGGAAAGAGTTGCAGGTAGAGGTGGGAATATGCCAGAGAAGTGTGCCTGACTTCGTGTGGTTCCTTAGGCATTCTTGCAAGCTACACTTCTGTGTCTTGCCTTTGCTTTTACCTGAACAGTTGGTACAAGGTAATAGTTAACATTACCACACATTACTTGTGAAGATTAATAAGGTTAATTTTATAAAATGGCTTAGAGTTTCTTGAATGAAAGGAAGTGTAAACACGAAATTGTGTTAATATAACCTTTGATCTGACCTTTTGGGGGAATAAATCATATCGTTACTGGCTTCTTCCTGTATATTGTATAGTAATTAATTCCTCATATGTGAGTGATCATTTGTATTCCTTGGAGAATTTTATTCACTTAGAAAGTTAAAGTTCTGAATATAAAAATTTTTAGTAACTGCCACATTTGCCTTTACGATGGCATTTGTAAGGTTTTATTGGGGAGAAACATGCAAAACGAAGTATTAGCATACCTTAAAAAGCAAACAACATTACAGGCAAGAAAACAATATCAGCAGAAGAGAGGGATATGGAAGGGAGAAAAGTAAAGAAATTAAACTTGAACAAAAGTGGTAATGGCAGTCTTTCTCAAGAAATAAGCAAACAGTATTTTAAAATATACAGAAATTACCCATCAACATATCTTATAGCTTGAGCCCATCTGAAAGCAAAGGAGCTGGGTTGTCTTTGTGTCTTATAGTATATAACCTTGCGGAATTGAATATCACTTTTGATTACAGGGAGCCAAAACAAAACAAAGCTTGAGGTTAGGATCTGAGATGGAGATTAATAGGCATATTGGTATAACACTTCTTGGAGTAGGTACTTGGCTGGAGACATGATGGCCTAGAATTGAAATGTCTATCTTTAAAAAAATAAAAAAAGCGTGAGATGAGTAATAGAATGGGGTGAAGGAAAAGGGTTTCAATTGTGTTTTTAACGGGTCAGTGTCAGTCTCTTTGCTTAGTGTGATTATAAAAATCATTTATAAATTCTCTATTAATACATTTCCCCAATCATTTTAGATTCTAGATTTCATTGTTAAAAGTTTAATCAAGTTGGGACGCCAGGGTGGCTCAGTCAAATAAGTGTCTGACTTCAGCTCACGTCCTGATCTCGTGGTTTATGAGTTCAAGCCCCACATTGGACTCCATGCTGCGTGGACCCTGCTTGAGATTGTCTCTCTCTCATGCCCTCTCTCTCAAAACAAACTATAAAAAATATTAAAAAATAAAAAGTTTAACAAAGAGAAAGGATTAAAGGTCTATCACCAGCAACCATATGTAGAAAACTGATATCTGGAGAAAGTTTTCTTCTATTTCTGTCTGTTTGATGTGCAGTAAACCTGCTCAGTGAAGTAATTCAGATAAGATCATCTATACAGACAGTATGGCACTGTAACTTAATTCTTTGGTAAATGCCAACGCGTGTAGTTATATATATACATGTAGTTACGTAGAAAATCTTAATTATATACACCACTCAAAAGGTTACTCTGTTAGGAGGACACTTTCATAAATTAAAATGTACTTGGGTAACATGAATCCGTCAGGCATGCCAGGAGCTGTTCTAGATCTACAACTCTTCCATTTAGCTGAAAATCAGCATTTTAAGTGGTAGAAACATTTTTAGTTTGACATTTTTATATATACAATGTCCCTGATGTCTTAAATAGTCTGCTGAACACAAGACATTAATCAAGATATTTTGATGGGAGTTCAGCTTTAAATATCCTTTATTGGAGGTACTGAAAGTGTGGATGCAAAAGCAGAAGTATGTGTGTTAGAACTGAGTCAAATGGTCACTGCCACCATATGCTTTGAATTAGCTTTTATGGAAGATGCCCTGATATCAACCATTTAGTTTCTAAAAGTATTTTCCCCACAGTGGGCCTGAGGCAGGCATTCTCTCAACTGTCTTCTACTGGAACCAGTATGCAGAGAGTGGCCTGAAGGCTCCTGTTTTGGCTTTTTTCTCTCTGCTTGCTCCCTTCAAGTCCCATAAAATATTCATGTTACCTTGTACTGTTATTGGAGCTTTTTTTTTTTTTTTTTTTTTTAACACTTCTGCTTTTGACATATCCTAGGCTGGTGTTCGTTTTTTCTTTTTGTCTTGTTCAATTGGGTATAAATAACTATCTGATACAGCATATCTATCATTATGACTCTTCTTGCAGCTAGTGGATGTACCTCCCATGGGTGGACTGTCCGCATGTGACGCGTTTAGGGCCCAAAGGGCTGTTAATGAGCTTATTATGCACATTCACTTCTGCTTCCTGGTGTTTTCTTGCTCTTGGGTATTCCTTACTGTGCTCTACTCTTACGTTCTTTCTCTTCTCTCATGTCATTTGTTGTCTCCCTCTCATTTCACCTTTGGTGTGAAAAGTTTGACCTTTTATAAATATTGTTTTCATTCAATTCTTATAGTCCATGTGGAGATCTCGCCACTATAACAAATTGAGTCAGCTCAAATAATCACCGGATCTTTGAGCTGTTCTTGACTGTTCTGTGACTCACAAAAAGAATTTGTTAGTCTCCCTTCCTCTGGTTTCCACATTCCTCATCTGTTTCCACATCCATAGCTATTGGGACATATGTTATCTAGAAAGTTGTGGTTTTGTTATATTAAGCTTTTAAAATTCATTCCAGTCTATGGAGATCAGTAAATGTCTGTACTATGGACAAAAGTGGATTCTGAATGGATCTTTAAAGAAATAAGAATTGTTGGGGCACCTGGGTGGCTCATTCGGTTGAGCATCTGACTTTAGCTCAGATCATGATCTCACAGTTTGTGGGTTCGAGTCCCACATCAGGCTGTGTGCTGACAGCTCAGAGCCTGGAGCCTGCTTTGGATTCTGTGTCTCCATGTCTCTCAGCCTCTCCCCCGCTCATGCCCTGTCTCTCTCTCTCTCTCTCAAAAATAAACATTAAAGAAATAAGAATTGTTAATCATGTAAGCATAACATTTCAAAGGGCCAACTGAAAATGTTTTTATAATTATGTAAATCTGTAAGTAAGATGAAGAAGTCAAATCAAAGGATTCCATTTCTTAAAACAGTTGTCTGTCTCACTTGCTGTTTCTCAACAGTATTGTATACTTTTGTGTTTGATTTTTAAAAACCAGCAAGCCTAAGAATATACTTGGCCTAAATGTGTAAACCATTTAAGAAGTTTAGGCTCCTAGAGGCACCTGAGTGTCTCAGTTGGTTGGGCATCTGACTTTGGCTCAGGTCATGGTCTCACACTCCGTGGGTTCGAGCCCTGCATCAAGCTCTGTGCTGACAGTTCAGACCCTGAAGCTTGCTTCCGATTCTGTGTCTCCCTCTCTCTCTGCCCCTCCCCTGCTCATGCTCTGTCTCTCTCTGTCTTAAAAATAAATAAAAACATTTTAAAAAAGAAGTTTAGCCTCCTAAAGATGGTGTCATTTTATGGAACTGTAGTTCTCTTGAACAAAAATATTTGAGGGGATAAGGATTCCATCAAAGTCAAAGCAACATTTTTCTTTCTTTCTTTTTTTTTTTTTTCTATTTCACAAAGGTTGCTGTTGAAGAAGTCTGGTTGTAAAACACCAAGGATTGAATTGGAAGAGATGGGGCCCTCATTGGATCTGGTTCTGAGGAGGACACATCTGGCGTCAGATGATCTTTACAGATTATCTATGAAAATGCCAAAAGCCCTCAAGGTTTATAACTTGCAGACTGGTGCCATATTTATTTGTATATTCCACTCTTCTTTCCAAAAAAGATTAGCAGCATAGTACATTAAAGAACATACAGAAAGAGATCGATAAAATAGATAAAATTAGACTCTCAGAACAAAGAAAAGGAGGAAGAAGCACATAAGCCAACCATAAAGGATAATAAAAGAGCTGTAGAAACCATGCATCAACTATGGCTGAGAGCTTTCTGGTAGCCAAGACTGCCAGTTTTCAGCAAGAAAGAATTGTGTGGGGCGTTGTGGAGATGGAGGATTTAGAGCACAGGATGTGTAACTCATATTGTTTAAAATGTGTTTGACTTTTGAATGGTTTTGAAAAACAAGTAGAAATGGCTTCTCTGGAATGCCAATAAAGATTGACTAGATAGTCACAATTCCTTAAGCTAAACACAGGAAATTCTCTCACTGGATGACAATGGTTAGTGTAGTCTATAGTATTGCTTTTCAAATGTTGTCTGACAGTTTACCTGGGAGTTGTTAGAAATGCTGAGTCTCAGGTCCCTAGGCCTTTTGAATTATAATATGCATTTTAACAAGATCCTTAAGTGATTTGTATGTACTTAAGTTTGGGAAGAAAAGTCTGTAGGCTTATAGACTATATTATTGAGTAGGAGCTCACGAATGGAAATTGTTAGTAAGACCTTTGTTGTACACTAGATTTTTACCAGTTTATGGTAGTAGAGACCATTACCTATATATATATGTATATATGTATATATGTATATATATATGTATATTCTTGTTTCATAGCCAAAGAAGAAGAAAAATGTCTCCCATGACACTTTTGGCACAACTTATGGAAGGATTCATATGCAGAAGCAAGACCTAAGCAAACTACAAACCAGGAAAATGAAGGGGTTGAAGAAGCGACCTGCAGAAAGGATAACAGAAGACCAGGAGAAAAAATCAAAGAGAATTAAAAAAAATTGATGGAACTAGCCAATAACTGCAGTGTTATTGTAGTCTGTTTACCTAATAGAGTTATCAAGCATCAGTCATTTCAGAGTTTCTTACAAGATTTTATTGTATATTTTTATAACATGGTAATTTACCTAAACTATATATAAATTTACCTAAACTTAAAAATATTATGAATTAGGTTGAAAGTAAGCCTCTTTTGATATATATATTTTTTAAATTTTTTAAAATTTATTTTGAAAGAGCACAAGTGGAGAAGGGGCAGAGAGAGAGAGGAAGAGAGAGAGAATTCTAAGCAGGCTGTGCAGTCAGTGCAGAGCCTGATGTAGGGCTCGAACCCACAAACCGTGAGATCATGACCTGAGCCGAAATCAAGAGTCAGATGCTCAACCAACTGAGCCACCCAGCTGCCCCCTTTTAAATATTTTTTTTAATGTTCGTTTATTTTTGAGAGGGAGATAGAAAGCATGTGCGTGGGGGAGGGGCACAAAGGGCGGGAAGAACAATCCCAAGCAGGCCCTGCACTGCCAACACAGAACCCCATGTAGTGCTCAAACCCATGAACTGCGAGATCACGACCCAAACAAATAAGAATCAGATGTGCAACCAACCTAGCCACCCAAGCATCCCAAGTCTCTTACTTGAGACTTATCCTGGTGGGCCATTTTCTTTCAATGTTATGGTATTCCCTTTGCCCTCTACCCACCCCCACCTCCTGCAAAGTCTCCTGTCTCATTGGATTGGTAGGTGAGGAGGGATCTCCAGAACAATGATTGGTATTTTAAAGAATTTCTGGATTAAGCTTTCAATAAAGGGAGGAAGCCATGGAAAGTAGAATTGGCCCAAAGGAACTGTATACACGCTCAGTATGAACTACCTGGAAAGTTAACCCCATCTTCCAGCACAGACCTATAGTCTGACTTTTGTTTTTTTACCTTTCTGTTACTTTATTTTGCCTGTTTGAGATTCATTTGAGATTTTTAACTTTGCGTCTTAAAACATTTCTCTAAGAGCATGTCCGGTACCTGATCATTGACATATTACCATACTATTGGTTTTTTTTGTTTCAAGTTTTTATTTAAATTCCAGTTCATTCACATACATACAGTATAATACTAATTTTAGGTTGTACTATTGGTTATCTGAAGAGATTCTGCCACTAAGCCCTATCCCCACTCCTGTGAAAGAAAGGCAGTGTTAGTAGGGCTAGAAGTGAGAGAGGAGAGAATGGGTAAGTTTTGAGACAGAGGGCACTTTAGGTACTGAGTAGCCCTGGGTAGCTAAAGGTCACATAAAGGCCCTGGGTGTTTGCACAGCAAGTGGGAATAAGCAAAAGCCAAACAGCTTGTTTTGAAATTTTCTTCAAGATGGGCCTTGTGCCTAGGAAATGGGAAGAAACTGTCCACTTCCTCCTCCTAGTGTTGCATACTTGTTTTCCTTAAATGTCGAATTTAGGTTCCTGGTAAAGAAGCTCCTTCATGCAAGTGCAAACCTACCATGTTGTAAAAACACAAACCTCTATAAACTATGATTGTTCTAGGAAGTGGAAATGTTTTGTTTTTGATTCCATGTCAGGGGCCTGTGTGTACATTTATGGGAGTTTGCTGATACTAAGCCAAAGCTAGAGCCTCGGTTTTACCTTCCATATATTTTCCCTTGTAAACCTATTCCTTGGCCTTCCCTCTCCCCTTCCCTTTCCAGATGGCTAATACCTCTCATAAGAAAGGAGCTGTTATTATTCATTTACACTTACTGCTTGATTATGCATTTAACCAAAGACCAAACATCTGAAGCAGATGTTTACGTTTTATGTTTTATGTCTGAATGGGGAGAAAAAGTTAAAATAATTCATATCCAGCCATCTATAAGTAAATGGATAATAGGTGGGGCGAAGGGGAGTCATGAAAGGGGCATCAGAAATAGTGAATGCAGAGTTCTTCCCCAGTGCCTGACCCCGGACTTCCAGCTAACACTTTGGGAAATAGTGATGCAGCAAAGCAATGGGTCACATTAACCACCTACAGGAAGGATCTTGTCATACGTTGACCTCTATCCCAGCAATTCAACTGATTTTAATGTACAGATGGCCACATTTTTGGTATGTGGGTCATTATCTTGGAGTGTTTTAAAAATTTTTGAGATTTGGTAATGCATCCTTTTGTCTCCTATGTAATTTTTTTTTTAATGTTTTATTTTTGAGAGAGAGCGTGAGCAGGGGAAGGACAGAGAGAGAGGGGGAGTCACAGAATATGAAGCAGGCTCCAGGCTCTGAGCTGTCAGCACGGAGCCCAATGCGGGGCTTGAACCCATGGACCGCAAGATCATGACCTGAGCCAGAGTTGAATGCTTAATGACTTAGCCATCCAGGTACCTCGCTTATGTAATTTTTATCTCAGATTATAGAGTGTCTAGTAAGTGTTTGCATCCTGTTCAGTAAGAGAAGTATATAGTATTACTGAAATGTAGTTGGAAGCCTTTTTTTCTCTTTCTCTCTTTTTTTTTTTTTTTAAAGGAATCTTTGTCGTAGTTGTTGAGCCATCTGGAACCCTTGATCCACCATTTATATCACCATTTCTGTGGAAAATACGTTTTAATTTCCACTTGTCCTTGAACTTAGGACACAGCATACATAAATTGGAGAGGTGGTAAACTGCCTGTCTTACTTCGTTTTTACTTAACCAAGTTTTACTTAACACTTTGGATTTTGGTAGATGAAGAATTTTTTTTTTAATACCAAATTCTTCTTTTTTCTAGGTTGTTAATACTGATACCAAGTTATATATAATTTCATGAAATTTGGTTCTTTTTTATAACCTAAATGCTACTATTTGTTTTCTTGGTATTGAACATAATCCAAAGTAGAGATGTTATTACTCAGGAAAGGAAGAAAAAAATTCACCCCAAGTCAGTTTTCAGTTATCTGATTACCTAGCTTCTGCTGATCTCTCTTTCCTTTCGTTTATACTGTTAGCAATTTCATGTCCCCCCAATCCCCAGGTGGGGCCGGGAGAAAAGCTTTATTTATAATGGAAGAAGTTAAAACTATTCCTAACATTTGACCAAGGAAAGGCTTGTTTTTAAACCGAATTTCAGGGGCACCTGGGTGGCTCGTTCAATTGAATGTCAGACTTAGGCTCAGGTCACGATCATGTGGTTCATGGATCGAGCTCTGTGTCAGGCTCTGTGCTGACGGCTCAGAGCCTGGATGGAGCCTGCTTTGGATTGTGCCTGCTTTGGATTGCGCGTGTGTCTCTCCCTCTGCCCCTCCCCTGCTTGCTCTCTGTCTCTCTGAAAAATAAACATTAAAAACTCCTAAAAATAATAATAAACTGAATTTCAGTTATTGATGCTTTGTCCATCATAAAATTCAGTGCCTGCAAATAAATATACAGGGTCTTCATTATATCAACAGTATTTTTAATAGATCGTCAACATGGTCAAAATATCCCCAAGCTGCATTAAAGGCAAATATATCCTACCATATCTTCTACACAATTGAATAATGTTTTACACAATTTCATTATGTATATAATGAAATATATATGAATAATATTCTACACATTAATTGAGATAAGTTACTATGGACCAGGAGGTAAAATGGGCTCACTGGCTTGAAGTTTATACTAGCTGTGACAAAGTCAACTTGCTTTTAAATGTGTATTGTTTTTCTCTTAAACCAACAACTTGAGTTCAAGTTTAAAAATAGCAAAACTGTCACTATGTTTCCTGTATCACCCAGAGTGGCCCATGTTAGGATTTAACTGTGCTTAGGTTGAATTGGAGCCGTTTGCACTTTTTCCATTTGAAAGCTCTTTGGGAAAGAGTTTTAAAATAAGGGGAATATATAAGGTAAGCCTTTCTTTTTAGATAACATATGCATTTTAAGTCTATTTTTGTTCTTTTAAACAACTTTCCCTCCTCCCTCCCCAAATCCATTTCCCCCCCCACCTCCACCTTCACACCCACTCTAGGGCATCAGAAAATGTGTTCCAAATACGGGAGAAATGGCTGGCACCACAAGCTCCTGCTGAGCAGGGTTGGGGCTTGTATGAAAGATGGCAGATCATGGGGAAATGACAAAGCTTGTAGAACTCAGCAGTTAGCATTTTTGCCAAGCAAAGATGAAAGCCCCTGAACTTTAGTGGGGTTGGATTGGTTCTTCAAACTGAAAGCCAGGGTTCTGAGGGCTCAGCAAGAAGCAGAGTGGCGGGTGTTGGCTCTGGGAGGCACTCCCTCCCACTCAGCTGCAAAGGCACCACGTTTGGGTGCCTGATCAGGGTAAGGGGCTTGAAGCCAGGCCTTGTTCAGGTAACCCCTCTGTCCATCTCAGAATGCTGGAAGTGAGCGCAGGGGTTCTTGGAAGCAAAGTGCAAACTAGTAGGTGCATTTGAAATAGATTGGAAGATTCACATTCATCAACTTGAGGAATTTACTACCTCAGTCCCTTAGCTAGTTCCCCAGAGTCCTCTGACAGAGCAGATGGCAAGGGGACCTAACAGACCTCACTTTAGATGACGACCTGTGACAGCATGTCTGGTTCAGCCTCTCAGAGGCAGCTTTCAGGTTTATGACCCTGGAGGAAAGAGCATGAGAATTCATTGTCCCCATTAGGCCCCATTTCCATCCATTTAGCTCATCACTTAAAGCTAGCCCAGGTCACAAATGTGTTTTGAGTTTTACCCCCAGCACCTTTCTCCATATAAGGGGACCTTAGGGAAGGATTAGATGGAATCTTGAAAAATCAATAAAGCACAAACGGCAGGGGAGCTCCTTAAAAGAAATTCTGACTGGAATACATGGGAGGGAGGCAGTGCAGTGTGGGGTTTGGGGAAAGTTGTGGCATTAAAAGAAACTGACTCCTGATGCTGAGAGCTCAGCTGAGATTTAAAAGGTCAGGAATCTGGGGTGCCTGGGTGCCTCAGTCAAGCGTCTGACTCTTGATTTCTGTTCAGGTCACAACCTCATGGTTTGTGAGTTTGAGCCCTGTGTTGGGAGAGCCTGCTTGGTATTCTCACTCTCCTCTCTCTGCCCCTTCCCTGCTCGTTCTCTCTCTTGCTCCCAAAATAAGTAAACTTT